GATGCATGTGCGTAAGTGCTTATGCAAAAGGTGCATCGGATGAAATGAGCACAATGGATATGCTTGAATGCAAGGTAGTCAACATCATCTAAGAACATGTACTACAAGCACATGTTATTTACTGCATTCTCTTCTACTACTAATATGCTAAGTCAACACATCTCATTAAATGCTTCAAAGATACACCAAAGCTTCACTAATTCCTTAATCATGCATAAAGCAACATTTGATTAAACCCTAATTGATAATATGTTTGAATAGCAACATCTATTTTTATAGCTTAGAAAAATCTTAGAAAATTATCATAGCACAGTACTACCCTAAGTAGTCTACCATTAAATTTTTGTGGCATTTGGATAAGTGGAGTAGCCTACACAAAAATAACAAGCTATAGCATAATTATGAACATGAAAATACTTTGTATTATGAAAAGTGTCAAACAACAGATGTAATATTTTTCCTATGTTCTACATAGCAAATAATCACTGTACAAAAATTATCACATGCATGTTTTATACAAATTTTGCTCTCTAGCAAAATTAACAAAAATCAGCCATTAAAGGCACTTGAACTATATCTCACAATTTTTCTACAGAACATGCATGACATATATTTTTTCTAGGAAGTACATTACACAAGAAGAGTAACAAACTTGGAAGCATATTTTTCTGATACATATAGGTTTTACTACACATTTTATAAGATATCAGCAATATCAAGAATTAAATAAAACTCCACAGAAAAGTATCTCAAAAATGACATGCACTATTTTTATCCTGTAGATCTGGTGACAAGAAGCACAACAAAATTTGTTTCACCATTTTTGGAGCAATATAACTGGAGATATACATTTTACAAGCTTTTTAAATCAATTTTTTTTGAATTCATTTTCTTTAACACTGAAATTCCACCAACCCAAAACCGCTAGGTGCACCCGGTGCAGTGCACCCAGAGGGGCTGCCAGGTGGGACCCACTGTCAGTCGGCCCCACAAGTCAGCGAAACAAAGCAGGGCAACGGCGCTGCTTCGACGCGGGTTGGCCACGGCTCGTCGCCGGTGAGTCCTCCGGCAAAGGGAAGTGGACCAACGTGATCTACAGAGCAGGGTGAGTCTAGTGACCTAAGTGGTGGCGGTGCAGGTGTGGCGGAGATTGCTCGTCGCCGGCCATGGCGGCGCTGCTCTGTGGTGTACCGGCCGTCACCGGCCACGGCAAAGCCAGGCAAAGCGCTCTACAGAACCGCGGCGACCATGCGACTATGTCTAGGCGACTTAGGCGGCTGTTGGCGCTCCGACGAAGCACGGCCACGGCAGCGGCCATGGCGGAGCTCCAACAAAGGCATACCCGCGGTGGCGCAACGCGAATGGCGGCTTACCTAAGGCACGATTGCGGGCGCTGCAAGGTGGAAACGGCAGAGAAGGGTGAGGCGGAGCTTCGAGCACGGCCGATTGGAGAATGGGGCGGCGGTGAGCGCGGGCGAGCTCGGCGGAGCAGCTGCGACGGCAATGGCGACTGCGGCTGCTACGGTGGCTGCGCTGAGGCGAAGGAGAGCGAAAATGAGATGGAGGAGGGGAGGCGAACGCTGCTCGGCAGATGGAGGCGAGCGCGTGGAGGGCGAGGCAGGCCGGGGCTGCCGCGCGGTGTGCGTCGCTGGCGCATGGCGGCCACGCGGCGAGCGCGTCCTGACGCGGTCGGGCGCGGCGCGCGGGAACAGGCGCGGCGCGGCGCTGAGGCAGGCCAGGTGCGCGAGTTGGGCTGGGCCGAGGCGAAGGCGCAGCGCGGGGTGGAGCGTGGGCCGGCTTCGGCTGGCAGGCCAGAAGTTAGGCGGCGGCCCAGTAAAGGAGAGAAACCCTTTTTCAAATTCCATTTTCAAGGAATTTCTAAATATCAGTTTTCAAATACCCTTTTGAGCAAGAAAATAACTTCTTTTGAAAATGGCCCAAAAATAAAAGTTGCTTAGAATTTAGTTCTCTACAACTTTGCTTTAGGGACCAACTAAAAATTTTGCATAGATTTTGAATTGGGAAGTAAAAAGCTAAATAGAGAGGATTTTTGACCATTTTCAATAAAAATTTCAAAAGCATATTTTGTCAAAAGTTTGAATACAAACTTTGCTCCAAAAATTATGCTAAATAATTCTAGATGATTTACAATTATAGCCAAACATGTTTTACTAACTTAGCAAGCATAATTAGGGCAAAAACAACTCTAAACAAGTGTATGCAACATTCATGTTTCATGAGCATGTTTCATATGTTTCAAAGCATGGTTTCAGTTATTATTTACATGATTAGGCATGTATGATTAGGATGCTTGATGATGCACAATATGCATGATTTGCAGTGCCTAAATGCTTGCATAACACCGGGGTGTTATAGCCGTGACTCCACGAGCTGGAGGGCTGTCGCCTGAGCAATCCTCTCGTGGCTGCCGACGCCCGCTGCCGGCTAGCGCCCACCTCCACGCCGTTGTCCGAGAGCGCCAGCTGCCCATGCAAGAACTTGCCGGTATTGTTTCTACATGCACATCACATACACATACATGCGTGTGGTGACCATGGTCTGACAAACGCACGACACGATCGGACGATGGAGCGGACAAGCAGGCGCACCGCGCACAGAGAGATGTGTGGCGTAAGAAACACAAGGGAGAAAAAGGGAAAGGAGAAGCCGAGGGAGCACGGCGCGCGGCGGTGTACTCCGGCCACGATGCGCGCACGCACGTCCTCCGCCGCCTTAGTGCTCCGCGTCGGGATCACCACACGAGCGCCGCGCTTCGCCAGCATGCGCGCCGTCTCCGCACCGATCCCCGATGTGGCGCACGTGATGGATGGCCATCGTCACGCCCATGTCCGGGGTCACGTCCTCCGCCGTCGATATCGACCCGAACACGCTCGCGCCAAGTGACCCCAATAGGTACCGCACCGCCCGCAGCATCCCCGATAGTGCGCGCGTCCAGCGGGTGGCGTCGGCGAGGTGTGGTGAGGTTATGGGCAGCTGGGTGGGTGTTGGGAGGGGATGGCTGCTGGGGGTGGGGATGACGAGGTGGAGGAGGCGGCGGGCGCTGGCCGACGGCGGCGAGCGGAGGGGGCCTAGCCGGGTGGAGAGGCACTAAGCGGGGCGCGGCGGCGTGCCACCGGCAACAGCAAGCGGCGGTAGTATCTGCGAAATCGTCGCTCGTCCGTCGCGACTTCATGACGAGAGAATGAACGAATCGTCTCGATTCATGATCGGTTGCTGGGAGGATAGGATAAGGAGGCAGGGGTAGTTCGGTCATTTCCCGTGTCCTAAACCGTGATAAGAGATATTTGGAAATAGAAACGATAGGAAATCTCAGAAATACCTCGTATTGAAACAATTCGCATGCGCATGGTTAAATATTGATAGGCTTGTGAATTCAATATGAAATACTGAGAGGCTTGTGAATTTAGGGTTAAATATTGAAATTTCTACGCAAAACCTAGCTTCGTGGCTGTTGTGGCCTAGCAGCATTTTTTTTTGCCCTAATGCCTTTCTACCCGCCAAGCCCGCGAGAGAGAATTCAGCCTGTTCGGTTGGCTGGTTCGTTTCGTTGTTGGTTCGTGAAAAAGTACTGCTGGTTGATTTGTGTGAGAGAAAAATACTGTTCCGACTGAAAATTTACTATCGTTTACGACAAGCTACAACCAAACGAACACACTGAAAGCTCGCAAAACCCGCAAGAGCCCGCACGAATCGCATCCCCTGAATCCTACCGCTATCGCGGACGCGCACGTCGTCGCCTTCCTGCCCACGACGAGGCCGTGTGGCTCCAGCACCTGCGCCGTGGCGGCGCCGATGGCGCCGTACGCCCTGCCCGCCGCCGCCTGCGCCTTCAGCACTTCAGCAGCGCCAGGAGCGCCTCCGTGCCGGCCAGCGTCTTCGCGCCGGGCATGCCACCCTGGTCCACGGGAACAAGACAGTGAGGGATAGCGTATTTCCATACCATCAGCGACATGTCAGCGACGATCGTATCAAGCAGGGTACCAATGCAGCGAACGCGCGACTTGCCGGCACCGTTACGAGGTCGAACTGCTGGCCGGCGACGTCGTCCAGCAGCGTGTCGGCGAGGATAGAACGAAAGTTTTGCCGCACTGCACCGGGAACCGCTCACTAGCGCACGTAAAAGAGAAGCGAAAAAGAGAGTTCGAGCCTCTTGATGACGAGGACAAAGCAGCAGCAGCCTGATAACGACGAGGAGAAGCCGCGAGAGTGAGACCAGCCCTTCGGTCGTCGGCCCTCGGTGCCGCCAAATGAAACGGACGCCACGCAACCGGCAGGCCGAACCAAAAAGCGCCCATTGCGCCCCACCGCCAGCCGCACGGGCGCACAGCAGCCTCACCCCGTCCCCGTGCCGACGAAAACCACCGACCGCCCCTTGCGAAAACTCATCCTGGATCGCCTTCGCTCACAGCTCTACAGATACGTGCCCACACGCCTTCACGTCATTCCGTATATTTCCGTGTGCCACATGGTCCCAACGTACCCACGGCTTTCAAATCACACGCCTTGTCCCCTCCGCCTCCTCTACAATTTTTTTTCTTCTTTGATTTGATTTGATGAAAAACTCCTGCTCTACAAAATGGCACGCACGATTTTTTGTCAAAAAAAATGGCACGCACGATTTCCACGAATATTTTTTCCCCACTGCGTTTCAAGTTGCACCCCCAGTCGCCGCTTAATTACGCCCGCAACCTCACAGACAGGCAGTTACGACGCCAACCAATCAGCCGATTAATTAAATTAATCTTAGAAAATCATCAAATCAAATCGAACGAACCGCGGACACCGGCCCTCCTAATCCGTTACTCCCCGCTCTCTCTCCTCCGCCATTCCCAAAGCACGCTCCGCTTTCCTTTTGTTTTGTTTTACACTTCTTCCGCAAATCCACATCCTCCTCGCATTCCCCCTTTCCGCCCATGCGGATCCGCTTCCTCGCATCCGCCGCCGTCGCCCGAATCTGATCCGGGCGTCCCGAGTTAGGGATGGGGGCAGAAGGGGAGGAGGGGGCTGTGGAGGCGGCCACGGGGTTCGAGGTGGGCATCGTGGTGCCCAAGCTCTCCCGCGCCGCCGCGGCGGGGGCCGCCGACGACTGCGTGGCGCGGCTGGTGCGAGAGCTCGAGGGCGCCGGCCTGCTCGTCGAGCGCGTCCGCGGCGTCCCCGCTGAGTTCATCAAGGTCTGTCATCTGTGACCCGGTGGCGCTGCTATTTTTTTTTTCTTTTCCTTTTAATTCAGTTCAGCGGAGGCGGAGGCAATAAAGAAGAGCGCGAGCCCTCTAGTATCTGCCTCGCTCGGAAATTATGCAACGCATGCTGCTTGTTATTTTTTTTTTTCAGTTCTATAATGCTTGTGGGCCTGCTGTTTGAATTTAGCTGGCTGCACCAATGGGGACCCTGGGGAGAGCTGCTGCTGAGATGCAGATGAAGAAGCTAACCTACATCGGTAATTGGACTACTATATCTACGAAGTATATGATTGGCCGTGGGTGATGTGTTTCATGCTGCTGTTAATTTGCGTCTCAGGAATGGAGCTTCAGTTTGAATGGGACCAGGTCGCAGCATTCGTTAGGCAGCCAGATGGTTCGCTGTTCAGCTGGAGAGAACGCTATTGCTGCTTCCGCTACTTGATATATGGCATTGTAAGTTCACGACTGTCGTCACGTATAGCTATTGATGTGATTGAAATACATTGTAGTTATGACCACTGATTTATCACATATGGTTCTACAATGTAGCTGTGGATGCATTTCTGATGTTTGCTTCTGTGGTCTGCATTGTAAGACTACCAGTGACATGTGTACTTTGTTTTCGTGCTGATCCATATTTTGTCAGATCAATGCATTCCTGTTCATTGTTTGTTTGCTCGATATTATGTGTGAGAAGTGAAGTATATAACTAATTCACCAAGTGTTTGGCTCTTTTCTAATTTGGATATATATAATATGATAGCAAGTTGGAATTCATTATTGCAGGTGAACAAGACAAACTCTGAAATAGTTCTTAGATTTGATGATAAGGAGTTCCATTGGAAGCAAAGTGAGTCCTTATTAACAAGGCTGGAAGCTGAAGGAGTTGTAAAGCTAGTATTCCCTTTGCATGGTACACTAATCTTAATTCTATTTATGCTCATATTTCTGAAACTATTATTGTATGCCAGCTAAAAATTTTGTTGCAGATGAAATTAAAAGGAAGCAACTCCTGAGAAATTGGGCGCTTAATTGGCTTGAGTTCACATGGCAACCTATCGATGAGATTTACTCCTACTTTGGAACAAAGGTAGAATGTCCAATGAAGCCTATACATACTATATTCAATTTATGTTCCATTCTGTCTAAAGCAAGTCAATAATTTTTCTACCTTCTACTTGATTAAAACTCCACTTTGAACTGCAGATTGCAACATACTTTGCGTTCCTAGGAATGTATACGCGATGGCTTTTCTTCCCAGCTGTTTTTGGACTGGCAACTCAACTCATAGATTTTGGGTATGCATTTCACTTGCGATGGCCTCTGTTGGAAAATTTAGTAACAAAATTAATATTTTTTCTGTCTGTTCTTACTTCTACATTTCTTCTCTCCACGTTGAATTCAGATCATTGCAGTGGTTGGTTCTTCCTGGTTTCTTTATCTTTGTTATTTCTTGGGCTGTCCTCTTTCTGCAATTTTGGAAACGGAAGAATTCAGCACTTCTTGCAAGGTTATACATGATTCATATTGATCTACCAATAACTCATATTGATCTGGAAGTATCAGGCTAATTTCCTCACAACTGTTTCATTACCTCTATGATGCCCTCCAACAGATGGGGTATTAATTGTTCACTATCTGAATACAAAAATCTGGGCAACGAACTCAGCTTCTTGAGTGATTCTCTTACTGTTGAGGAAAAGGAGTTTGGTGATGTGTCTGCTGAGAAAAGAAAGTTACAAAGGAACGAATGGTTTGGTGTCCTCCTTAGAATAAGGAATAATGCTATCATTGTGCTGGCTATCATTTGTCTTCAGCTGCCATTTGAGTTGGCCTATGCTCATCTATATGAAATTACAGAAACTGAGGTTACGAGGTGAGTAGATATGGTTACTGAAAAACTGTGCAATTGACTTGCTAGCTAGCTTTTCTACCGTAGTACTTAATACCAGTTTCCCTTGTTTTTCCATTTCTGGTTGTCATTAAAGTCTGCACTGTATTGTTCTGATCAATTTTATATTATACAGGTATTTGTTGACTGCAGTATATCTTGTTGCAATTCAATATTACACCAGAATTGGTGGCAAGGTGTCTGTCAATTTGATAAAGTATGAAAACAACCAAGGAGAAGAGTCTAGTTCCGCTAGTTTAGTTTATAAGGTAAATACCATGAAGTGAAAGATGATTTTTTTCTTTATTTTTGGCTTCTTGCCTTATTTCCTTTTCTTCAAATGCAGGTCTTTGGCCTTTACTTTATGCAGTCATATATTGGGTTATTTTACCATGCTTCTTTGTATCGTGATATACTGGCCCTCCGGCAAGTCCTCATCCAGCGCCTCATTGTGTCCCAGGCATGTCTGCAGCATAATTGTTTTACCGTGGAATATTTTTGTACCATAGTCCTATTGACGATATGTTTTCCCTTTTTCAGGTATTAGAAAATGTGATTGAGAATTCCATTCCTTACCTCAAGTACAGTTACAAAAAGTACATAGCTGTTCAGTAAGTTTCACATGAACCCTTGTCCTTATACTTCTTATTCACAGAGCAATAGAGTAATATATACAAGAATTCTCTCCCATCTTGTAGCAAGAAAAAGCATGAGAAAGAATCACCAGTGGGTAGGTCAGTCCGGTTATCAACAAGAGTGGAGAAAGAGTATTTAAAACCCTCTTACACTGCAAGCATTGGAGCAGAACTTGAAGATGGTTTATTTGATGGTAAGTATTTGTCCTTTTCAGTTCTTTTGGTAGTCAGTTTGGATGTGGTTCATATATACCACTTGTGTTGTGTTTTAGTCATAGCATTTGCAGTTTGAAATGGAAAAGCAAATGATGGTGTTTGTGCTTATATTATTGAATCCATTACAGACTTTCTGGAGCTGACTCTTCAGTTTGGAATGATCATGATGTTTGCCTGTGCATTTCCATTGATTTTCTGCTTTGCAGCTCTGGTATGTGATCTCTATCACAAAATCACTATGTTGTTTAGCCTCTCTGTGCTTGTTGCTTCGATGTAACTCTGTTAATGTTGTTGTGAACTACTTTGACTACAGAACAATGTTACTGAAATCAGAGCAGATGCATTGAAGTTGTTAGTCATGTTGAAAAGACCTGTCCCCCGTGCTGCAGCTACAATTGGAGCATGGTTGAACATATTCCAGGTACTAGCTGAACTTTGGAATTTCACTACTTGTGGGTTGTGGGAATATGCATGCCCTGATTCACTCTGAATTTTGTTTTCAGTTCTTGGTTGTGATGGCAATATGCACCAACTGCTTGCTTCTCGTTTGTCTGTATGACGAGGAGGGGAAATGGAGGATTGAGCCAGGACTAGCAGCAATCCTCATAATGGAGCATGCTCTCCTCTTAATCAAGTTTGGTTTCTCCCACTTCGTGCCTGAGGTCATTTTCTGTATTTATCTTCTTCTGTTCTGTTGCACTGATTTCTTTATAACTGAAGCGCCCTTGTGCGGTTTCTTGGTTTTTTTTGTCAATTAGGAGCCTGCGTGGGTGAAAGCAAATCGTGTAAGATATGTAGCTCAGGCACAAAACGTCTGCTCCAAACAACTTTTGAGGAGCATTTCAAAATTTGACAGAAAACTGGATTGATAAACATCATGTACAGTTTAGAAGTTATCGCTGGTTTTGTAGTTTAGGTAGAGCGGTTTTGTATAGTACAAAGTTGTACAAATCTAGCGGTGTAATATGTTGATTCATCTAACAGGTACAATATCTTGATTCATCTAACTGTTTAGTGTAGATATTAGCTTATCGCCACCTATCTTACCAGTAAATTGGTAAGAGGAGAATGCCCTCAAGGGTAAGACTGAGTTTTTTTGTTTCCTCTTTCATTTTAATGATCTGTTGATTTGAACGGAAACTCAGACATGGTGCACTTTGTAATGTGCTGTGGGTGATTCCGAAGAGTAAGATACCACCCTAGCCCAGATATTATTCACTGGAGAATATGAATATGCACTGCTCTTTATTACAATTATTACATCCATGACCTTTGCTAAATTTTATCGCTTTTGACATAACTGAGGTAAGATCTACTGTAGTACACATACAGTATCAGCCTAAGTCGCCCTTTGAAACGAACGAACGAATGAAGGAGATAAATGAATTTTGCTCTTGCTTTTGCCCGGCGCTGCCGCCATATCAGCGGAGCTGCCTGCGAAAGTTATCTGCAGTCTAGACTCTAGATGCTCAATTGGCGGATCCATCATCGCCTGCGTCGTGGTGCTCCGACGAGCCGTCGCTCTTCTCCGCCCAGGCGCCCAAGCTGAGCTGGCGCACCAGCGCCGCCACCTTCTTGGCCCATCGCCGGATGTCGTCCTTGACCTTGTCGGGATCGACGTCCACGAGCGGACCAGCGCCCAGCCCGGAAAGGAGGCGCTCGAAGCGGGCGCTACCGCGGGACGGTGGCTTCGGCTGGCCGCCGCCACCGCCGCCGTCCTTGGTCGTTGCCTCCTCGGCCGTCTTCTCGCCGACCGGCATGTGTGGTACCACCGGTTTCTCGGTGCATCGTGAGTTGGAGATCGGTTTTGTACCAGCCCAGCGAGATGTTAGTGTCCCGCACGTCTGGTAAGAGTGAGTTTCGGTCCATGGTTTTTGTTCCTTCCAAGATGCTGCAAGGTGTCGCTTCCAAGCCATCGAACTTTCAGCAGCTGATAAAGATTTAGCGAATTCCTGTGCACGCAAGGGCAAGGCTGTTCCTATTCACGTAATATATAAACAGTTCACTAGTCTAAAATTAATTTATTATCTAGATCGATCAATCTCTAGCAGGACAACTGAGCCTCCCTAACCTGTTTGGCATGGTTCGATGTAGTGTGCAGAAAAAAAAATAACATCATCAGCTCAGAGAGAAAAACAGCTCCTTCCCACAGTGCGTGGAACCGATGAAGTAAAAAAACAATAACATCATCAGCTCCTAATTCACGACTAGCGTCCCGGTCCGGCGGTTGCTCCGTTTCTCCTCGGGACCGGCGACGGCGCAGAGGATGGGTGGGACACGGCAGCAGTGCGGAGGGTATAGGAGCACGCGCATTTCAGGGTGGAGCGTCCGGACGTGGATCTCGGCGGCAAAGTGGAGCTCGCCGGTGACGCGGCGCCGCATGGGGCTAGGCGACGACGCACAAAGGGCAGGATGGGACGCGGCAGCGGTGCGCAGAGGGCGGGGTGGGTGCGCGGCGACGACGCAGAGGATGGGTCGGGGCGGCGACGAAGCGCAAAAGATGCTGGCTTCCGCACGGACGTCCTTTGGGGTCCACCGCTGCAACATCGGCGATGTACTAATGAAACATATCCGACTTACTATTGAAACATGTACAATATCGTTGCTGCAACATCGGAGATGTACTACTGAAACATGCCCAGACTGTTGAAACATGTATAGTATCGTTGTTGCAACATCCGTAAATACAACACCTGCAACATGCGTCTGAAGCAACTGCAACATACGCTCGAGACACTTGAAACAAATGAAGCATTGGCTTTCAGAGCAATATCTCCTTGCAACACAACACCTGCAACATGAGCTTGAAGCACCTGCAACATGTGCTCGAAACATCTGAAACATTTGAAACATAAGCTTTTTAGAGCAACATCTCCTTCTGCTTGGGCGAACGGAGGCTCATCGGCACGTAGAGCTCGACGGTGGTGCGTGGAGCTCGCCGGTGGCGTGGACGTCGGTGGCACGGATCTCGGCAGCATGGAGCTCACTGGCAACGCAAACCTCGGCGGTGCGCAGAAGGCGACGTCGCACGAGCCGGGCGACGGCGCGCTAAGGGCAGAGTGGGGCTGGCGCAACGACGCAGAGGACAGGTGGGGCGCAGCGACGACGCACAGGAGAGGTGGGGGCGGCAGCACGACGCTCAGACAACACGTGCACGCTCCGTCGAAACGCTCGGGGTGTATCATTATCGCTCAATTTAAGAAGACAGATTTGCTAAGGTGTGAAGAAGCCGGCCAGAGCTGTCACCAAATCAGATGATTAAGCAGTACTTGTATAAAAGGGACAAATTCAAGCAGTAGACCTCGAATTTTCCAAGTCACATGATTAAGCAGTACTTGTACAACTTGTTCACTTTGATGTCTTTTTAGACCAATTACAAGGCAGAACTTTTTTTCAAAACTCACAAGAGAATGTAAACAAGAATGTTTCCAAGAGAACCTCAGAGGGCAGCAGCACAAATAACCAAAGGCCATACGTACTAATAAAATATTTTCATAGGCTTAATAATATGTCATCAGTACAACTGTACAAAGGTGGAGTTAACTATGAAAATTTGTAGCAGTTTTAGATAAGCACGTTTCCTCATACTCCAAATCTTGAAAGCTGTATAAACACCAACCATCCACAATGTTTTTGATAACACAAAACGAGTCATTGACCATTGTTGTCTTAGTTTGCCTGCCTGTTCTTCTTGACACCAGACTTGGCAACCTGGAGGCTGCGGTACACTGCGCTCAGCCTTGCAAGAGCTGGCTTGGTAAGATCAGGCCTGTAGTAGTTGTCACCGACCTGTACAAACAAGTAAAACCACAACAGTTAAACTGATGATGCCAGCTTGCTCAAATAAGAACCACATATCAGGGCAGACAACATGCCTCTCGTTTGAAAAAGGGTTACAAGTGCTAAAAAGCAAGTAGCATCATTTTTCGCACAACTTCAACTCAAGGGTGCAAAAAACATGCTTCCAACAAAGGACTTTCAAGGCAACTGACGAATACCCAACGAGCTCAGAAGATCAAACTTATTGAATGATGAATCTTCTTATATGTTAAAGTTCATCAAACAACAACTGTAAATGGGAACCACAAGGGCAAGCACACAGAAATAGGGATGTAAGTCAGCTGGCCCATGAACCAGCATACAGGTCATTTTACGTGGATTGCCAGCCCTAACCAGAGATTATTCTCACGTGCTACTAACCATCCACAGTTTTTATAAACTGGCGCATACTTGATCTTTTGTAAAAAAAAACGGTATTAGAACTATATCGATAAAAACAGCTACAAAAGTGAACCAAGAACAATAAGTTAACAGTATGACAAGAATGTCAAGAAGACTATGTTATAATAAACAAACTCTATTCACATTCAGAAGTGCAGATAGGTTAATGTACCTTAAAGAATAAGGCTCATCATAGCAATTTTATAACTAGTTACCTACAGATATTTATAAAATAAAATCATCTATATTTGAGGGGTACAAAGTTCTAACCAGATTATCTTCAACTAGAACTACATCAGAGGACACAAATTACATAAAAGACTGAACATGGAATGGGGTTGTTCTATACCTGGTTCTTGACAGCCTTGGCCATCTTGCGGGACTCCTTGCGCATGACAGACTTGTGGTGGAGGCTGGCAGGCTTGTTCTGCTTCTTTGTTTTGGTTGTCGAGAGGACCACCGCAACCTCCTTCCCACTGGCTGGCTACACTGTCACGGTCTTCTTGTTGGCAAGGCCTGAAAAATAACCAACCAGTGCCACCGATGGCATAAAAAGGTCAAATGAACAGGCTAGTAAACAAACACAAACCAGAGTGCTTGTAGGAGTGAACATTGTAGAGATTGTTGGACTCCTTGCTGAACTGAACCTTGGCATTGCCGTTGCCGAACTGTTTGATCAGGAAGGAGTTATTCTTCCTCACGATCTCCCAGACCAGGGAATGTGGAACCGTCGCCATTTATGCTTACCTAAACCAGGAATCCAACACACAATGATACATCGTCTAAACAGGGAAAACTATCTGATAAACACCAGAATCACTATCTCACTAACAATTTCAGTACAGCATAGATCTATCAGACTAAAGAAAGATCAGAACATAGAATGACACAGCATAATATCCAGAAGATGTCTGTTCCACAAATTAACTTCTACAGAATTATATATTTAGTTGACCAATCTAGTGGCCTGAAAACTGTATGCAGTAGCAATTCTACGAGTAACAAATGCTATGATCAACAAACCCCACAAATTATAGCACTGAGGCGAAGAAGGCACAGGTAACAAATGAAACTGGGGGCAAATCGAGCACTAGTGGAGTTCAACGGGAGGCCCTCCAATATTTCAGGCGATGAAATATAGGAGATGTGAACTTCAAATAGATCGATTTACGCGCACTAAAGAAGTCAGCCTATATTAGTAATTAACACAGGCCAGTTAATGTAAGAAAGTTGACGCGAGAAGGGAAGATTTCTTCTCACCGTGGATTGGAGCGACACACCACACTAGATGGCAGTGACAAACCGCTGATTTTGCTTCTTTCCGGTGCTCGGCTGCTGGTGGAAGGTGATATCGATGCGGCGGCACGAGGTTTAGAAGCTCACCTTATATAGTGTGTAGCGGTGCTCATAAACCCTAGGCCGGAGAGTGGGCCGAGTTGCTTTGTTTTGGTGGACCTCTCCAGCTTGATCTGTGCCTCTGAGAAGACCTTTTTTTTTTCTTTTTTTCTTTCTTTTTTGAGCCCCCTCCCTCGACTATTTCCTTTCGTTCATATTTTAAATTTTTCTTTAGATTATTTTGTGTGAATTTGAGTTACTCGTTATTATTTTGATGTCACTGACATTTTTTTTAATTTTCTTTAGATTGTTTTGTGTGAATTTGCGTTGTATGACGGCTAGAGGACGCAAATCATCCGGTACTGCTTCCTGTGTTGCCAAATTGATTACCGATCACAATTACTCACCACTTGCATTAAGTTCACAAGAAGGCCAACATCAGGACAACTGAAATTTTAAGCCACATTTTAGTCCCAAACTCCCAAGGAAAATTTATAAAAAAATATAGCCCTTAATGCAAAGATTGTGCCACCTCGCTTCACATGAATAGACTACAGACGAGGCTGCACATGAATAGACTACAGACGAGACGAGGCAGCAGAAAGCATGGAACAATCTCTCACAAAAATCATGCATAGCATGAGTGTACCGGATCCAGTTACAATGGGATGAATATGAAAGAACCCCGGAAGTTCTATACATACGGCACATGCCATGCTTATTAACAATCACTAGCAGGAAATTTAAGTCTTTACAATATGATTCTATTGAATATATGAGGGTACAAGAGAACAAAAGAATTGTAGGCTCAAACTAGCACAGCACCATGGTATCCAGAAAACATTCTGTGTTGCTATACTGTACGTACAGATCTTAAAAAAACTCGACCTGCGGGGGGTTATGACGGCCCCCGGGTTTTTCCGTTAAGAAGAAGGATCTTCTCACATGGATCGAGAAAACCCCAAACCCCGCCCCCATCCTGACGCAGGAGGTGCCGTCACCCTGTGAGAACCGGGCTGGGGCCTTCCACTGCGCTTTGGCACATGGGGACGGACGAGGGGATTTTTTTAACCTCATCCTGAAATCCGCTTCCACGAGGAGTCGAACCTAGGACCTAAGGAGTGCCGCTGGATCACCTAACCGTTTGAGCTAGGCGCCCTTTGGCTGTACGTACAGATCTCAACTCAACCCCTATAAAAAGTATAATTGTCTATCGTATGTATGACTTAATTCAACTGAAACTCCAAGTTCTATTCGTGTCAACCTAAGGCCGGTTTGTTCGAAGAGACCTAAAATGTGCGGCAAAAGAATCATAGTCTGTTGGAAGCTTGGGATGAACATGTGCAGGGGGTGTTTTCGGGGTGCTCTCTTTTGGAGTTCCAGCTGAGGTTTCTGTGTCCCCCTCGTTTCCTCGAACAAAGTTTCTTCTCATTTCAGCTTCTTGGGGCTTCCCTCTAGCCATCGGAGATTCAATCTGCTCAGCTTTAGGCGAAGACCGCTGTACTGCAACCCTGGGGTACACACTTGCATCCCTCCTTTCAGTCCTTTGTTCAGTACTTGAGCTGTCGAATCCTTGATGGCCTCGTGTCTTACTTGGCACGCTCTCAGTTTCATCATCATATTGGGCTCCAATTTGGATACGACTATCTCTCTTTGTGTCTGATGTTACCTCCCGTGTCCTGCGTGATTGTATCAGCACTCCAGACTGCTTCGACTGAGGAGGCTGTTGTTGCTCTAGTTCTTCTTCACTGTCATCTGTATCGAAGTAATTTCTAGCCATTGTTGATCTCACTCCTAGGCGTGCTCCAATACCTGGCTTTTCATGATAAAGCACTTGACTTGAATTCGCACGTTCAGAACTCTTAGTTGTTGGAACACTTTTATTACTAGGTAGCTCAGATACCTTCTCAGCGTCAGCAAAACCAGAGGAATTTCTTGCTATGGTTGATCTTGCTTCCCAGTGTGTTCCAACACTTTGATTCCTTTCATAAAGATCACTGTCGTAGTTTTTACCTGAATTAATCCTGGCTGAAAACGAGCTTTTGGGGCTACTTCTATTCTGTTTGGATGTAGTGTTCTCTTCAGAATCAACTGACTCTTCAGTGCTGGAAGAAACCGTAGGCAAGGGCTGCCTAGGCAGAATGCTCTCCCTGGAAACTTTGGTGTATGGTGGGGGTTGCCTGGGTTTGTTTCTTAGTCCAGGCGTTAATCTACCAAAGTTAAGGCCGAGGTCACCTTCCTTATCAGCAGAAGTTGCTGAAGTATGTATGGCAAAAGGCAACGACTGCTGCTCATTTGCTCCGGCTGAGGATGAACCTTTAAATTTATCTAAATCTGTCTCTTCTTCCGAAAGATCAGAATCTCTGCTTTGCACACGATTCAAGTTCCTCACTGCCTGTGCTCCTGAATAATCATATATGGGTGAACCATCAGGTCCATCACCTTTATTCAGGCCAGACGAAGCAGATCCTCCTGAATGAGACCTTAAAGACACTGCATGCGTGGTTGTGGCTATTTCCTCATCAGAGTTACCACCATCTGAATCAAAAGCAGGACCCAAGTTATGATAAGAATGAGGTGAAGGAATATCACTTCTGTTTGTTCCTAAATTATCAGATAGTTGTGTTTCTGTTCTGGAAAATAGGGCCGACGTTTTCTGGTTGGATGGAGATTCACTTCTATGCTGTTCACTCCAATCTGTAGTTGAGAATCCCATGTGATCACTGGGACCAGGTAGTTGTTCAGTATGCTTTGAGGAGAATGTGTCCAACAAATTCTCTTCTTCAACATCAGAATCATATTGATCAAAAACAACAGGTGAAGAATTGCCTTGAGCTTTGTCATTCTGCTTATCCCAAGCAGTGGTGTTGCTGCCATGGGCAAATGTATCATGTGAAGAATTAAAGTTACCATAGTAGTCATCTGTGCTCTCTTGATCAGAGCTAGATCTCCTGATCTCCACATCCTTGAAACTGCGCCCAACAGGTCCAGTATCTTGCAAGTTTTCTCCAGGAAAATCAAACGGATGAACTTCAGATCTTCCAATGTCACTTTCTCTCTCATATAAATCATCAAAACGTGGGTCAGGTGAATGAGCACGAGGCGGTTCAGTTGGCATTTCATAAACATATGGATGGCTTTCTGGACTGTAGGAGTGGAACTGTTGATATGGGGCCTTATCTGTTGATACATTCTGACTATCAACATGGGTTGTTTCTGTTCCTCCAAAATTGTTTCTTGAGTTACTTGGCATCACCCTTGGATCATTAACACCTGAACTCTGGTCATGGAAACTCTTCTCATTCTTCACTATATGTTCAGCATGTTGCTTCCTCGGTGTGTTTCCGCTACTGTATGCAGCTGAATCATATGCTCCAGTGCCTTTATCTCCAGAATAGTTTCCACGACTAGCAAGTTCAGCAGCAGCTCTAGCAGCAATGCTAGCCATCTCTGCAGACTCTGCTGCTGCCTGTGCAGCAGATGTTGCATCCTTGAATTCCACATTCCAATTGGCACCAGTCACCGAAGGTTTTCTTTCCGTATGCTGATTGATCTCTTCATTCCTGGATGCTGTGTCTGAAAGGGAAAATCGAAGATTTCAATGGGATGAACATAATAGAGCAGTGAAAACTGGCAGACATTCAAACAATGCAATCCTTCTGTACCTGGGACCGTTGTGCTGTATTGAGGGTAAGGTGGACCAACTGGATTTCCATGTGAGATATTGTTAGAACCAGGAGTCTGTGCTGAAGTGTAAGCAGATGGCCCATGTTGGGAGATAGGAGGTACTGAAGCACTGGAACTATCATGAATGTTTTCTTTCGAAAAAGTATTAGAACTGGCACTGCCATATGCTGTTCTATTTGCCGGCACATGTGCAGGCGAAGGCCCCACTGGCACATGGGAAGTGGCTGAGTCCACAGCTGTCGCACTTACACCAGAATATGTAGGCTGTGGTGTTGACATGCTAGAAGTAGACGATCCCATAGTTGAAATGTTTCCTCCAGAATATGTTGCAGAACCATACTAATGAATAATATAATGAATCATTAGGGCCACAATGTTCAACCAAGGGCAGAAAAGTGAAACCACTCTAAATCATTTACTTACCAGAGGATTTTCATTTGGCTGTTGTAGTTTCTCCTCAAATGCTTTTGGCTCCCATTTAATATTGTGCTCCTCTGCTATCGAGCTCAAGGTTTTGATTTTGGTCTGTATATCAGGTGCTACTGCTGACAGCTTCTCAATTACCTGTATCAAGCAAAATTGTATTAACTGTTAAGACCAAAAGTGGCAAAATGCATTCCTTTTGTAGCCAAAGGAAAAAAGCAACCTCTTTCATAAAATTTAAACTTCTAAAGGCACTCTAGATTACCAGACGATTTACGCCACTGTCAGGTCG